GTATTTGTGTGGCTGAGAAAACTCCTTTTACTCCCTTTTGCCTTGGAGTTTCTGTGCATGCAAAATGTTCTTGACTACAGCAGCATTGCCAGGTGGACACATTTCAACATAAAGGAAAGAACTGAAAATGGTAGCTGTAAACTACTAAGTCTGGAATTTGTAGGGTCACAGTGGATGAAGCCACCTCCAGTTAGCATGATGCCAGTGACAGTGATTTCTGGCACTACAGGCAGACTGGCAGGTTTTTGAAATTATGCTAACCAGGTGCCCACCAATGTGACCAACCTCCAAAGTCATACTGGAGATTATAAAACACTGAAAATAGCAGAATCCCAATGCTGAATTAAGAGAATTCTTCTAGTTGTCCTTTGCCTTTCTATTTTTCTTATGGAGAGTCTGATTTTAAGGAAACAGAGAACAGTGGGGTCATATTCCTGTTAAAAGTGCTCATTAAAACCAAAATTGTCAAGTCAGCAGGTCGTAAGTAAAATACATCGGAAGATGCTCTTCTGCTTGCGGTGAGAAAGGGAAGGTCGTTTTCTTGTGGCGGTTTGATATCTGAGGTTTTGTCTCTTTGAGAGGTTTTATCCATTTATTTATCAGAGAAGCCTGTAAGAAGAAATTATCTAAGATTATCTTTTGCATAAACGAAATGAGGCAATTTAACACTTGCAATGGCGAGGCCTTCTGCTTCTTTTCCATGTGCTTGATATATTTTTGTGCACTACCACTTATCAGCGAATCTAAAAAACGTCCTAAATTGCAAAACATCTGTTTTGGATTATACCTTATTATATACAACTATATCAATTTTTGGAGGCAGGGAAATCTAACTACAGAGATATAATCTGTAGGATACTGGATAGTAATGAGGAACACAACATAACACAAATTGCTGCCACATTAGGAGTCTCTTGATTTAGGATCCCTGTGATACCTTATACTCTCAATTCACTGGGCACATTTATTGCCAATATCTGGGAAACAGAAACCAGAATTCTCATTCTTATGTTTGCTAATTATACAAAACTGGTGATAGTGACTGATACCCCTGAAGACTGTGCTGCCTTGGCAGGGCTAATTTGGACTAGATGACCTCCAGAGGTCCTTTCCAACCCTAATGGTTCAATAAGTCCATGAGTCTGTGATTCTTAAGCTCCACAATCACAGTCCACATTATTATTATTATTATTATTATTATTATTATTATTATTATTATTAATTATTATTAGTATTACCTCTGTTTCCTTTATTGGCCATAGTTGATCCATTTTTGTTTCTAATGAAAGGCCACTAGAGCTGTGGGCCTTAACCTATGACTTTGGATAATGTGATGTCCTCAATGTTCATGCTCAAAAGAAAACACCAACACTATGGTACAGAGAAGATAAAGTTGTTTGCCCTTTGTTACCCCTTCATCGTGAATTACTGATGTGGGACATTGCACAGCACATAGTACAGGGGATGGACATATGTCCAGTATACTCACTCATTATCCCAAAGTTTGATTTCAGATTTACAAACAAGAAATCTGTTTATGTAAGCCAGATTCCTTGTGCAAGATTATGTGGAAGCCACATTTGTAGAATATTAAATATAATAAGTCCATATATCTTTAAAACCTGTAATGGAGTATTCTTGTGGATGCTCAGTGCCCTATTTCATAAAAAAAGTGTATGATTATGGACAGATTTTTATTGGCCAAACACAAAATGGCATTTTAAGTGAACAGAGTAAAAATTGGACATGAAAACAAAGTAGAAAATGCTCTTTTTTGAATACTGTCTGTCTTTGGTGTCTTCCAAATTAAGCACTTTCAGTCAATGCACTGAAAAATCTTGAACAGTTCTTGATCAAAATGAGTATAAAATCTACAGTTTCAAAAGATATTGTTCTACCTGTTGCTTTTCTTCTTAGTTACTGCACAATACTCTCTTAACAGACCTAGAAATAAAGTCCTTGTCATTTTTATGCCACATTACACGAGTGGCATTGCAGCCTTTCTTTGCAGTGCCCTGCCAATGTGATTCAAGTTTTGTGAGTAATTAATTGTCCATGCCAACAAGTCCTTGAACTGTCTGTTATAATACTAGCAGCATATAAACAAATAAAGATTGGAGTTTCCTGATTTTATCTCTTGAAAGGTGATTGCAAACTATGAATTTCTGCTCGTGGGGGGGGGGGGGAAGAATGACAGAAAGAAAAAAAATTATGTCCAGATGATGAAAAGTAGTTTCTTTGGCTTTCTCTGGTTTCCTTTATTTGCTGACTACATTTCAGTTGTCACAGGTATCTTATATAGGAAAAATATACTTTAAATTTCATCAATAGCACTTGTTCATTTGGCTAGAGTAAAGCATTTTATAGTATCATCTTGATTTCTGAACACTGTGCAAAAAAAGTTTGTTTGCCTCCCCATGTAAAATTGAAAAGGTCCTTTTTAGAATTTCTCCTATTTTTGTCTGTTTCTCAAGACAAATTGCAGTGTCTGCAGGGGCTCTTATAGGCTACCAGCCATGTATCCTCCGCAAACATTGCAGCCTTGTCTTCCCTACCAAGCTATCAAGCCTGTATTTGGACAGTTTTCTTTACTTCATTTCCTTCTAGGACTGAGAAGCAGGCTGTACAAGAAAAAGTTGTCAAAGATTACTTCTTAATAAAGATTTGCCATATGCAAAACTGAAATATGAGCAACAAAATGTGGCATTACTGTGCTCTTGTGCAAGAACCATTCAGTGAAACTTGAATAATTAATTTTATATGTGTAGATCCATCCTGATAGTTTCCTTTATCCATCAATAAGAAAAAATTACAGTTGGAAAAGAAACCTTCCCACTGTTTTTTCTAGAAAAAACTTGCCAAAGGTGGCTCCAACTTTCTACAGGAAAAGGATTTTTTTTTAAACTAAATAGTATAGACCAGAGAGGGTGAAAATGAAGAATACTTGTTGTATGTCCATTCGAATTAGTGTAAATTTTGTTAGCACTAAGGTGTAATTGTCAGAAACTTGCCGTTTCATATGGTGGAGGATTATTCAAACATGTTGGTGCCAATGTTTGCTCAGCACAGTCAGGATGACTGCACTTTCTGGGTCAGCATTATCTGTAAAACTTTGCTGTACCGTACAACTGAGGTAAGAAACTAAACACTAAGTCTCACTTCACATAGGCTTTTGTGCTTTGTGATATGAGTCAAAGTTTCGCTATTTAAAGATCAGACATTTAGAGACCTTGTATTTCTGCTTTTGCACCAAGAGCATGTGGTATCTGGTGTCTGTCAGAAGAAGGTTGACTTCTCCAGTAACCCTGATCTTCAGGGCTTTTGTCAGTTTTCATGTGACTTAAGAACAAATACATGGAAACTGAACTATTTTTAAAAATCTGTCCAGACAAAATACAGACTTCCAGTTACTTATCTGAGTGTTGTGTAATCACTGAAATAGCATTTAAGGTTTAATGGTGATCCCCTGTATTGACTTAGCAGTGCTGTAATGTTAGTGTAAGGCTGGAGTGTTTGTTGGTGCAGAGACAATGAAAGACAAGATTTCTCTGCCACTGATGCTTGGATTTTCCTTTTAAAGACATTCACACTCTTCTGGTGTAATTACAGCCTGCCAGAGCGAGGAGCATGAAACTGTTTAGCTTGTGAAGCTTAAAATAAAAGGTGTATGTGGAAACAAGAACACGATCCTTTTTCTAGCCGTCCAGCACCAAGTCCCATCCCCTCCCTCTCCCGTGGCTTCTTCCCCTGAAATTTAGAGCATCTTCCTGTTAGCGCATTTTTAGGTGAGTGGTGGGGCCCTTTTTGTCTTCTGTCTTGCTCTCATTAAATTATTTCTGCTTATTAATCTGTTTGCAGTTCATGTTGCATGTCTGAATATGAAGTCTCAGGTGTGGGTGCACAGATCTCCTCGTGATTTATGCTCCATTATGCTAATTATATAAGGCGCACCCCAGTTCCCATGCAGTCTTCCCCTTGGGCAGAATTCTGGATTGTTCTTGGGCTTGGGTGGTTTTTTGAGGTTTTTTTAATTGACCAATATCACCATGCTTTATCCATAGTCCCACAATAAAAACAGGAGAAACGTATGTGGCAGGTCAATACCCTGGAGGGAACAGGCATGACTCCATGGTTTCCTTCCCTCCCCCTTCCTTTTTGCCCCCAGATATTCCCTCCCTTCCCTTGTGTTACAGAACCGCTTTGCAGAGCTTCAGTCAGTAATGCCAAAAATGTTAAAGTATAAGTGGCTGCCCCTTCCTCCCCAGACCAATCAGTCATTTTCAGTCACAGGTTTAAATCTGCTGCAGCAAAGCCAAGCCTCTGTTCTTGCAGCAGGTCTTACAAAAGCAAGGCTGTTTGACTGACAGGCACGGAGTGAGGGTTCTAATAACATAGTGAGCCAAGTCAGGAAGTGGAGTATCGAGGACGAGACTGTGGCAGAGGTACTGTGCATTATGGATGAGGCAGTCAGGTCTGTCGTTGATTGACTGAGGGATGGTTACGCTCCTTCACAATGCTGGGTAAGATCATATGGACTGTCACTTAATATGAGCTTTCTTGTCAGTGGGAAGATGACTTTTCATGTAGTGATCCAATGCAGATTGCAAATGAGAGCCATGCTCTCCCCTCTGCTTTTTAAGGGTTTAGTCACTCATGCAGGTGAGTTAAAATAGCTTTATTGCTTGCCAGGTGTCATACTCTGGAATTAACTCTTATTCTCAGAATCTCACTATAAATCTGACTATAAATGTTGGAAAAGCACCTGTGTCTGATGACGTGAGATGTATGTCCTTTGTCTCTAGCAGCCAAGGTACCACCTAACCCCTGCATAGGTATGGTATTAAATTAAGTAGGAGAGCTAGGGGGAATGCAATTTTTTTTCTGCTCTTTTCTTTCAGTACAGAAAAAGAAGGTGTAACAAACAGTTCTGCAGACTCTGAAGCACAGCCACAGTACTGAGGTCTCTGACTGACAAGCCTTCTGCTTTCTCCTTTTCACAGGGCTCCTCCTACAGATGTTCTGAACACGTCTGCGTCCCGGCAATTTTTTACTGCACCCAGGTACTGAATATATGGAACAAGCTACATAAAAAGAAGCGTGGGGTGTAGGAGAAGGAGCACTGTGAGGAGTATACCAGAAGTCATGCCTACAAAATGCAGGCAATGGCATGACTTCAAGCAAAAATTTTTTGAGAAAGCATAGTTGCAGAATGACTGAGTTTATTCCTAGAAAATGACAGAATAAACCTCTTATTCAACAATATAGCTTATAATCATGTTAAATGGTATATGTGAGACTTGACTTCCCTAAGTGTCATCCTTTCACTGTATGACTGGAAGTATATTTATTGCTTGAACGGAATTTCTTTTTGTTCCTACAGGCTTGAAAACTAGAGCTCAGACACTTCTGGATCAGTCTTTTCATTGAAATACTGGAACTACTATGAAGTCTTCTTGGTTTGCACTCATCTTGGCAGTGCTCAGTACTGAATTGTTAACAAGTCAGTGTTCCACCATCAAGTCCCCAAGATTCAGAGGACGTGTGCAGCAGGAGCGAAAAAATATCAGACCAAATATCATCCTTGTACTCACAGATGATCAAGATGTGGAGCTAGGTGAGAAATAATTGTTATTTGCTACTACATTTTGTCATGTGTCTTCTAGTAATTTCTGCCAAGCAAACAGTATTTTAAATTCAGAGAAGGTGCTGGTCCTGAAACAATATTAGAGCGTGGGACAAGTTTGGAAAATGAGTTAGCAAATATTATTTAATGGCATTCATCACATTTAGTTATAGACTTTAGGAAGTATATGCTTATCAAAATCCACCAAGGAAGGCTTTAATTACCACCACAAAAGGATTTAATAATGCATGCAAGGACATACAGGTAAAAAACTTGCATCAAAAGCCCTTTCTCACTTTATGACTTTCTGTAGCATTTAAAAATTTGAGCCTAATGAGGTCAACCTTTCCCTCAGTGCTATATATGTATCTCTATCTCCATATATTTGTCACAGGCATGTGTGTCATCTGACATGTTTATGCACACAGACAAACAGATCTGGTTTCAGGACATAATATTTCTGTGCATTATATTAAGTATTATACATTATTGACTATTTAAAATCCATCTTTAAGACTATGCTCTGTGTATAAAATATGATAGTTTTACTTCCACAAGTATACTAAATATCTGAGCACAACCTGGACATACTAGCCAGAATTGATTTTTACATATTCTTCTTAAGATGGAAAAAGTTAAAACAACTTGGATGATGTTCCAGGAGGCCTTTGAATGTTTTCCATTAAGTAAGTTAGAAAGATATTAATGGTAGTTATGCATATAGCTGATTTTTTGGTTCACTGCTCGAAATAAAAAATCAAGGAGAGAAAGAGGATCATTTTAGGTTACCCCCAAGCAAATATTTTGGGTTTGGGGGTGAGATGTGAGATCAAGAAGGTGAAAAAATTGCAAATTAATTTGAAATTAAATCCTGCCTTCTTAGATTTTTTTTTAATGAAAGTCATATTTTTAACAGAAGTATAGTGAATTTCTAAACAAAATGACATATGACTTTGGAAAATAAAAATGCTTCATTCCAGGAAACTTAGAAGAGTTCATTTGTTCTAGAATCACACACTTTCAAGCAGAAAGTTGTAGAAAAAAATTGGTCTGGATCTAAAAGTGATTCTTTAGTTGCTAGCATTTTTGTATTTGCCATGATGCAATAATAATTTCACAGCCCTTCAGGGTTCTGAGAATAAACTATATTTTGTGACTGAGTGTTGGTGCTTTTATGCAGCAGAACTTCAAAACCAGGCCTTTAGATCTGAGCGCATCTTATCTTTTTTAATTTCCCACTCTTTCAAATGTCTGCTCTGTTTAGCCATGCTGCATAATGAATAGCTGTTCCCAGCTCTATTTTTGGCCTAAAATACAGCTATTACAATAGGAATGCACTTTTTCTTGATAGAGTCATTCTGAAAAATTTCGTTGAAAGGGTCAAGTAATTTCTTCCTTTTTTTGTGGTCTGAAAGAGCCTGCTTTCTCCAGGGCACTGGGCAAGGTAGCTCAGCAGACACACGTCTCAGAACAGTGTTACCATCTTGCTGTCTTCAGTCTTGCAAGAAGGTTTGCAAGTGGTGAAGGAAAAGGAAGGATGTGGCAAGTCACTTTGTTCATACTGGGAGCTCCTCTCTTTGAAAGCTGCTCTGAATGTTCACAGGGCATGCTGGCTCCCATCAGCAGGCAGCTGAGCCATAGCCTGGGTGTGTATGCATTCTCATTGCATTGAATAAAGACACAGGTTTCCCCTTTTCATAGATCATTTCACAGGAAACAGGATTCAGCCCCAAGACTTGCTGTACCGCATTATTCACACTTCTGATAATAAATCATTCCACATATTTGAAAAATAAAGGCAAACTGTTTTCCATGTGTGAATTTTCCCCCTGCTCCTCATTGATTCCTAAGAAAAATCTTAAATTTCCCTAAGGTCATTGGGAAGTAACACTTCCTGCCACAAACAGAATAAAACTTAGGTATTGGTATCCAAAAATCGCAAGACTGAAAGTCTCTCAATATGGATCATTTGCTACTATATTCCCAGCACGAACATTTCTAAAAGCTAGTCTAAACTAATGCCTTAACATAAAAGCATATAAGGTACGTTATAGACTTCAATCAGGAAGGATTTGTCTCCAGAGCGCGTATAAACATTGAACCAAAGTACTCATCTGCCTGAGAGCAAATGATATACAGAGGAGTTAGCCAAAGTAAAATTTGCAAGAGACAAGGAATGTGCATTTAGTTAGTGCTCAAAGCATAGGAATATACACATCTTCCTATTGATCTGCACCATCCCCTTGAGTTTTGTATTCTGAATGCAAAGAAGTTCAGCAGAGCTACTGCCTCATTCCATTTATCAGATAAAACCCACAAATTGCTCGACAACTCCAGTCGCTTCCTATCTATGCTAGGAGAAATGTGTCACAGAGGGAGGATATTGTAGATCTGGTAGATGGCAGCTTAAGTGGTGTGAAGCCACCTGGCCCACAGCTCTTGAAGAAACTCAGCAGATACTTGAGCTCTAACGCTGGGAAATTAGTTCTTAAATTGTGCCACCGTGCACTTTCTTCCCACAAGATCCTGAGGGTAGAGAAATAACTGTCCAAAACTGAGGCAAATCGGCATCTTGCTCAAGGCAAAGCATCAGCTCCCAGAACCCAGAACTGCTTCCCTGATGGAGACAACATGCTGAGGCTTTCAGGGCAATGGCCCCACCTCCTACTGGGTTCAGGTCTGTACTCTGTTCAGTCCAACATTTTGCTCACTCTTTAGTCTCTTCCCCAGTCTTCCAGATTCTCTTTTCATTTGCACACATCAGTACCTCAAAACATGACCCCCCCAATTGCTCTTATAATCCTCACTGTAAATAATATCTTGCATGTCAGAAAGAAGTCAAAACTAATGAATGTGTTGGTAATTCCAGTGTTTCTAACCCTTGCTAACAGCCTAATGCACTATTCAGTGAAATCCATATAAACCATCCACTAAGTAGAGCTGGGTGAAGAGATCACAGCATCATCTAGATACATCACATCAGGCATAATTTGCCTGGTTTGCTTTCCATCTTCACTAGAACTAAAGCACTAAAACACATAAGCTGAAAAAATGGGGATGTGTGCTGAGATCTGAGAAAGTCTATTACCTTCCTGGAGCCGTGCATACAATCCATATAAAGACAAGGTGGCTCCTAGCTATCCCTTTGTAGAGATGCCCACCTGTGATGAAAATCCCTAGCAACTTTAAGACTTGATACGAAACCTTGGTTACCAAACATGTTTCCTGATAGATGAGGATAGACTGAGAAATGACACTGAATTTCTTGCCTGACAAAACTTGCTAACTTCTGCGTCCAAAGTGGCCATTCCCAGTTATCTGGTTCCCCTCAGGTGCTCCCCAGTCGGTCATGGAGAGCGCAAGTGTCTTGCTGACAGATAGTGCCTGAGTACATATGCCCTGAAGACTGTGGGCCAGATGGTAAAGAGCACAAGCTGTGAGGAGAGCTACAGACAGCAAAGGATTATAACTCATATCAGCAAGTTTTATCTCCTACTAGTGTTTTGTTTTCCAAATGAGGAAGTCTCACCTGCTTTGAAGTGCCTATTCCAGAATTTCCAGAGGGGCTAAATCTATTATCAGTGTCAGTAAGTGCATACCTGGAGGGAAAACTTAGTCATAAACAGCAGGTTTGCAAGAGGAGAGGACTGACAAGCTGGAAGAATAAGGAAGTACTCTAACAGCTACTCATTTATAATACATAGAAGCAGAAAAGTGCAGATCAGCTCTGCCGCAGTTACCATGCATTAAGGTGCCTGAATAGTGCACTTTCTATATGAGCACCTCAAAGCACTTTACAGCTGACTTCTCGGTAATAAACTGTGACTTTTCAAAAATGGAAGAGTTATGGCCAAAAGAAAACAAAACAAAACAAAAACAAAAAGAAAAAGAAAAAGTCAACCTGGGGTCCGAGATAAAGAGATGTAGAACAAGGACAATCTCAACAACTCAGTGAAATGCTCCCACTCAAGTAAATGGAGACCTTTTGTGCTCAGGGACCTCAGGGACTGTGCTCAGTTACTCTCCTACTTCTCTATCTCCCTAAGTACATGGGATTCAGGAAAGCACAAATGCAGATGTTCTGCATTTGAAAAATAAGGGCTGTGAAAGAGGAAGAATCTAAAATTATGGTGACTTATATGCACGGTATTAAATGTATCCTTAAGGACACAGGCCCTGGCATTTCACTGAAATGCTGAAGAGCCTACTGCCTCTTCCCTTTTTTAAACAAATATTTTTTATGCAAAAGTTTTCATATTCAGCACTAATTCCTTAGCCCAAAACCAAAACAGAGCATGCTTAACTTGACTAATAAAATAATCTGTAATATTTTACTCCTTACACCTAAAGTTGAGCTTCCTTGGGAGTTTTATGGTTTTGCAGCCATCTATTGCTTTAAAATATTTTTTAATTTGATTTTCAAGCAACACAAATAAAATCATCAAGAAAAACACTTGTTCTGTCACTGGAATCAATGGATTTAAATGTAAAACAATTACTGTCAACTGTGCAAAATTTTAAAATCAAAGATAAAGAAAGTAGAATTCCAGAAAACATTTTTTACCACCAAAATTGTGCAAGTATTACAATTCACAAACCTGTTTCCTGGGCACATACTGACATATCCACAGTTGACCCTCACCCTTCAATCTCTGCTCTGTTGAATAACAGAAAGAACAAACTTTGACAGCTGTTAGCAAATACTGACAGACCCTATCTGGGGCTGTTCAACCTTTCTGCAATCAGAAATCTGCAAGCCCTGCCTTTCTCACCTTGCTGTTCACAAAGATGTTTTGAAGGATGCAAAAAATGTCTTTGTTCTTTAAACATTATCAGTGCAGTTTCCTGACAAAGGTGCTGCATTTTGCCAATAATTTTGCATACATACTTATCCCCAAAAACTGGTTTTGAGCAGAGTGCTTTAGTATCAGAGCCAGACATGCTGATCTTGTATCCACAGAAACTTTCCTTTAGAAAAATTGCCACTTAATTCTCTCTTTCTCCTTCCTCCATCTTTCACTGCCTCCTTTACCCCATTCCTCTCTCTCTCTCTTCAGTCATCTGATAAAATTGAAAGAATATTAACATATCCTTTGGTAATATCACCATTTTTCATATTTTACTGGTACATCGACTAATAATTCATTCTGTGTAACGTACTGTTTTTCCTACAGCTGCACTTGAAGAACTATTGACCTGTAAATTTGATACAGCTTTAACACTCTATTTCTAGATTAATTGATATTTTAACTTTGTTTTGGAGCCTGACAAAAAAGAACTCAGTCTTTCCTGAATCCTGTAAAATATTTTTGATGATATAATAAAAGTCTGATCTTTTCTTCTAAAATTACCCAAGCTACAGAGTAGAGCACACGGATGTTCACAGGCAAGCTAATCACTGATACTGTACTTTTAATAGCATTACAACAGCCAGTATATTCAAACAATGTTTTACAGCATAGTGATGATCAGAACATCTTTTTGCAGGGTCCTTGCAAGTGATGAATAAAACCAGAAGGATTATGGAGAATGGAGGAGCCTCTTTTATCAATGCATTTGTAACAACCCCGATGTGCTGCCCATCACGTTCCTCAATGCTGACTGGGAAGTATGTGCACAACCACAACATATACACCAACAACGAAAACTGCTCTTCTCCCTCATGGCAGGCTACTCACGAGCCACGTACCTTTGCTGTGTATCTCAATAACACTGGGTATAGAACAGGTAAGAGACGAATCAACAGCAGTTCTTCGTTTAAGGTGAAGTTGAGATATTCAGCAGTCAGTCTCGAATCACTGCCTAAAATGAAACTGTCTGGGTTTTGGCTGAGATAGAGTTCATTTTCTTCCTAGTAGCTGGTATAGTGTTGTGGTGTGGATTTAGCACAAGAGTAATCTTGATCACCGAATCTTGATTCAGTGTGGTCACTGAAGTTTTTAGTTGTTGCTAAGTTGTGTTTATACTAACTCTAGAACTTTTCAGCTTTTCATGCCCTGACAGCAAGAAGGCTGGAGGAGCACAAGAATTTGGGAGGGAACATGGCTGGGATAGCTGATCTGAACCAGCCAGAGGGATATTCCATACCCTATGGCATCATGCTCAGTACATAAATTGTGGGAAAAGCTGGCTGGGGGCTGCTGCATGGAAACTGGCTGTATATCAATAAATGAGTGGTGAACAACTCTATTGTGCATGACTTGGGGGTTTGGGAGTTTTTTGAGGAGCTATTTCTCTCTCTCTTTTTGTTGTCTCTCTTTTCATTATTATTATTATTATTATTATATTTTATTTCAATTGTTAAACTGTTCTTATCTCAATCCATGGATTTTACCTACTTTCCTATTCTCCCCATCCAACTGAGATGGGAGGTGGGGAGTGAGTGAGCAACTGAATGGTACTTAGTTCCTGCCTGGGGTTAAACCACAGCAGAAGCAACTATTGTCCCAAATTGCTTATGCAGAGCAGAGGTTGAATGTTATGGAGAGGAAGGGTAGTACTGCCTGACGGTCCACATCTGCAGTAACAGCCATGTAAAGAAACTCAGTTGCAGTGAAGCAGCATATTTCACATTTGGATGTCCCAGGTGGAAAATAAGCTGTTGGGCAGTTACACTTACTGTGAAAGAGGTGCATTTTAGTGGCATTGTGGGTCTGAACTGGCAGTTCCAGCCGTGATTATGGTCAGTATTATGGCCTGCTTGTGGACAGCTGCTAACAGTTATGGAAGAAGATGTCAGGGCCAGGCTGGGAACTGGTGCCAAAGACCTCACAGGAGTGGAGTGCCTGTCATGGGAGCGAAACAAGGTGAATGGTATAATTTAAACTTTGCCACAGGGCGATATTTCATTTGCATTTTCTGAAAAGGAATAGAAACATGCCTTTAAGAAGGATTGTTCTACTATGCACCAATAAGATTTGATAGTTTTCTTGTAAATTCCTGGTGGTTTTCTGTAGTCAGGAGATCCCTTTCCTGTCTACAAAGAACTCTTCTTATTCCTCTCATCTGTGCTTTGGCTTGATGTAAAACCCAATTCATTTCTGCATCACCTATCCCCTAAGATTCAATCTGTAGACACGTTAGGCTCCAGCCTGACTTCCCCTTCACAAGGTACCGGAGTTGTGCGAGGTCATCAGAGTGCAATTTGTCCAGAAGTATCGTTCAGCTACAAAGACTCCCCTTTACGGGACCAGCAAGGCACAGATTTTGCTGCCAACTGACTTCCTTACAATGTAACTGGCAGCAAAGAGATTTGTTTCTATCAGCAGCATAGGCACAAGAATGGATTGCATTCAAAACATATAGCTGGCGAATGTCTCCATGCTGTCTGCTGGTCCTAAATCTCTTAATGCTGCTATATCCAGTGCTTCAAACTTATCTGCCTGTTTGCCATCTTTTCTTCACCACACAGACAGTTCACTCTTTTTTCTTCCATATCTCTGCATCTGTAGTTCTGGAGACCTTCTGCTTCCTGTGTAAAAAGCAAAACCAGACAAATCTTTAACTTCTTTGGACCTGGTGTTGGCTCTGACCCATGCATGGAATAGTACTTCAATCTCTGTTAAGCTGGTCTCAGTGAAGTTGTCATCTGAGTACAGCACTGCTAAACCTCTTTGAAGGCTTTGAAGAAGAAAAGGAGGGAAAAGAGAATTGGCAATCACTGCTAGAAAAGGTGCTGAATTTGGCCTAAAATATAAGCTTTGTCTCATGACTTATGTCTCAGAAATACTTTCTGCTTGATAAATGGCTGCTTCATGAAGGACCTGGCTTTCATGTTCTTGAAATTTACTATCTTATTGGTTTGTCATCTTAGCTTTGCACAACTAAATGCTTCACGCGTAAACTGGACAGAGATAGTGACAGAGCTCTGTCACTAGCCCTCTCTGCCCTTCTGGGGGTAAACACTGTTTTGGGCATATCTTCTGCACTGCCTTGTATTAAGAAAGCATGTGGAGATGTCCACTAAATACGGACTAGACCCTCTTACACTGAAAGGAAAAAGGAGTCAAAAAAAAAACGGAAAAGAAAAAAAGTCCTTTTCCAGAGGCAAGCAGAGAGAACATCAGGGTAGGTGAGTTTTACCAGAGGGCAGGAAGGATTAAAAGAAAATAGAAACAAATGAAAATACTTGTATGAATCTCCAATTCTGACCAAGGTACACTGTTTGACCCAAAATACCATGGCCCCAAAGATTTATCTTTCTACTCCTTGTAAGATGAGCCTACCTTCTAATTAAGCCGCAATTATTTTTTTTGAGGTGGTAGTTTAATTAACAGCAGATCTTATAATATATTTTTCAAGGATACTGTTGCCTTATTAAAAAGTCATCAAAAGTGTGCTAGCCAAGTAATAATCTACACTTCACAGCTAGAAAGTTTAGTAAAATTATAATGACTCAAGAATACCTGGGAGTCAAAAGTAATTGGGAGTGAAAATGAGAGAATTGTGGAGAGAGAGTGGCTACACCCCACACAGTGTAGTTGTGACTCTGTTTTGATGTTGCAGATGTTATGGGCACTTATCCTGTGCATTTCTACATGTTTTGAGAGTAAATCAGTAACGCCCTCAATGGAAAACTGAGACAGAGAAAGAGCAGTGAATGACCCAGGGCAGTCACAGTCTGGTGACAGTCCTGATAAGGCACTTGACTAGAGAGCTCCAATCCAAATGAGATGACGTACAATACCTCCAGCCTGGTACTCTGAAATGATGAGAATTTAACTCCCACTTTCTGCATATAAGTCCGTGGAAATAAAGGGGTGGGGTAGTGTTTATGCAATGTCCTCACTTCTGTTTAGTCCAAATAGTTTTCAGTATCTATAAGGCACTCACTGTCTAAACCTGCTGTAGCATTAACTAAACCCTCTGTATTGCAATTGATCACATGTGGGCAGACTGTTATGAGAGGAGTCCTGCTGAAGCCACGAGGACTCCACACAAGCACAGCAGGCCATTTAAAGAGAGGTCTGAAATGTGCTCTAATAAACTGCAGTTATAATTGGAGCCCACTGGGAAAACCTGGCAAAGAACAGAATGTTTTTTCTTTCCTTTTTCTAATTTACTCTTCTACTCTGATGTGACCTAAAGGCAACGCTGGATTTCATGGAAACATCCCTTTTTGAAGATTATACATTAGTGCTAAATCATAGGCAGGAACTGTGCTGGGCACTAGCAGGGCAGGCAATATTCAGAAGCATCCCTGCCAAACCAAAATCACTTTTGCTTCTAATTATCATTTTTAAAAATCCTTAAACATTTAAGGATTGTTTCAATGTTTACAGTTTCCCTTATTCACAAGCTGTATGCTAATGCAGAAATGAGCCAACTGCGCAACTTCTTGATTGTTAAAGTCCACAAAATTGGTAACATTAAACTAGAATTTGTAGGAAATAGACACAGTAAATAGGTAGAAAGAGAAAAGAAAGTAACTCTGGAGAGTTTCAAACAGATGACACGTTTGTTTTAATTACATAGGTTCCAGCTATTCATACTAGAGAGAAAAAAGAGTCACACTCAAATTTTGTGGAAATTGTGAGAAAAGCTTGAGAAGTTTTCTTTCATTTCATAGTTTTAAATGTCAGTAGATAACCCTTCAGCTACTTAGATTTAGAAATTTAATTCATAAGATTATTAGATGCAGAAGTTAGAGATTTTGCTTTGTGCTTTCCAAAGTGTCGGCTGGTTTGCTGTTCTTTCAGTCTTACACTTTCTTCACCTTCTGCTGTCCTGTTCTGTTCTGTCCCAGTCCTACAACATGTAGTCTTGCCTCTCAGATGTGCCTTTTACTGTTGCCAGTTCCCACTGTGTTTCACCTACACAAACACAAAGGGAAATCCCAGGAGTGCACTACCTCAACCTTGGCTTCCTCCAATAGGAAAGGAGAATTGTGCTACATCTTAATAATTGAGAAGTAGCCAAGCATAATCTTAGTATTTTAGAAGACAAAACCATTACATGAGAACAGCCAATATCCAAAAGACATAAATATAATTAGTATTTTATTCTTAAATAGTGTGTCATGCTTTGTATACTGCAGGATTTTACATTTTTGCCAGTTTAAGTTTCATCCCTTTGCAAATATGAAAAGAAATACAAGTTTAAAATCCTTACCCGGACTCAACACACCTACACATTCAAAGCCCTCTATGCTTAACGTTGCTTTGTAAAATTACTACATTTAAATCCTCACTCCTCTTAGCCCTTCACAGCCAGTGTAACCATGCAGGAGAGAATGGGAATCTGTGTTGGCTCAGCAGCTGCTGACAGCCTCACAGCATCATGCCAAATGCATAATGCTCTCCCTTTATGGAATCCCACCTGAAAGAACAGGGATCACCAAGTTAGGCAATTATTTGCTTTCACTTTTTCAATTGTCCTTGGGAAGATGTATTTCCCAGTATTTTATTTCTTGCTCAAATGTATCAGCTGATTAGAAAAACATTCAAGAGTCATGCATGTGAGTGTTCTGAGGTCATTCTCCTCCCTTTGTGTCAAAAAAATGTTAGCATAGCAAAGGTAAGCAGCTCAAACATTAATTCCTAAATGGCTGCATTTGCAAAACTCAGAACTCAAGAAGTGACTTTACACCAAGATGCCCTCATGTTTTGACATTAGTCACAGACTTCTGTGTAGTGCTGAACAGAAATGGTCACTTGGTTGACAACTAGCTAATGTGTTCAACAGTACACATCAGCGTGTCCATTGACATCTGTCACTTATGGGTACAT